GCCGGCCCGCTGCCCCTTGGACACTAAGACAGATACCCTGGGCCGGCCCGCTGCCCCTCGGACACTGGGACACAGTCACCCTGGGCCGGCCCGCTGCCCCCAGACACTGGGACAGACACCCTGGGCCGGCCCGCTGCCCCTTGGACACTAAGACAGATACCCTGGGCCGGCCCGCTGCCCCTCGGACACTGGGACACAGTCACCCTGGGCCGGCCCGCTGGCCCTCGTACACTGGGACAGACACCCTGGGCCAGCCCGCTGCCCCTCAGACACTGGGACACAGTCACCCTGGGCCGGCCCGCTGGCCCTCGTACACTGGGACAGACACCCTGGGCCGGCCCGCTGCCCCTTGGACACTAAGACAGATACCCTGGGCCGGCCCGCTGCCCCTCGGACACTGGGACACAGTCACCCTGGGCCGGCCCGCTGGCCCTCGTACACTGGGACAGACACCCTGGGCCGGCCCGCTGCCCCTCAGACACTGGGACACAGTCACCCTGGGCCGGCCCGCTGCCCCTTGGACACTAAGACAGATACCCTGGGCCGGCCCGCTGCCCCTCAGACACTGGGACACAGTCACCCTGGGCCGGCCCGCTGCCCCTTGGACACTGGGACAGATACCCTGGGCCGGCCCGCTGCCCCTCGGACACTGGGACAGACACCCTAGGCCGGCCCGCTGGCCCTCGGACACTGGGACACAGTCACCCTGGGCCGGCCCGCTGCCCCTCGGACACTGGGACAGATACCCTGGGCCGGCCCGCTGCCCCTCGGACACTGGGACACAGTCACCCTGGGCCGGCCCGCTGCCCCTCAGACACTGGGACATAGTCACCCTGGGCCGGCCCACTGCCCCTCGGACACTGGGACACAGTCACCCTGGGCCGGCCCGCTGCCCCTCAGACACTGGGACACAGTCACCCTGGGCCGGCCCGCTGCCCCTTGGACACTGGGACAGATACCCTGGGCCGGCCCGCTGCCCCCCGGACACTGGGACACAGTCACCCTGGGCTGGCCTGCTGCCCCTCAGACACTAAGACAGATACCCTGGGCCAGCCCGCTGCCCCTCGGACACTGGGACACAGTCACCCTGGGCCGTCCCGCTGCCCCCGGACACTGGGACACAGTCACCCTGGGCCGGCCCGCTGCCCCTTGGACACTAAGACAGATACCCTGGGCCGGCCCACTGCCCCTCAGACACTGGGACACAGTCACCCTGGGCCGGCCCGCTGCCCCTCGGACACTGGGACACAGTCACCCTGGGCCGGCCCGCTGCCCCTTGGACACTAAGACAGATACCCTGGGCCGGCCCGCTGGCCCTCAGACACTAGGACAGATACCCTGGGCCAGCCCGCTGCCCCTCGGACACTGGGACACAGTCACCCTGGGCCAGCCCGCTGCCCCTTGGACACTGGGACAGATACCCTGGGCCAGCCCGCTGCCCCTCGGACACTGGGACAGATACCCTGGGCCGGCCCGCTGCCCCTCAGACACTGGGACACAGTCACCCTGGGCCGGCCCGCTGCCCCTCGGACACTGGGACAGATACCCTGGGCCGGCCTGCTGCCCGTCGGACACTGGGACAGATACCCTGGGCCGGCCCCCTGCCCCTCGGACACTGGGACAGATACCCTGGGCCGGCCCGCTGCCCCTTGGACACTGGGACAGTCACCCTGGGCCGGCCTGCTGCCCCTCAGACACTGGGACACAGTCACCCTGGGCCGGCCCGCTGGCCCTCGTACACTGGGACAGACACCCTGGGCCGGCCCGCTGCCCCTCGGACACTGGGACAGACACCCTGGGCCGGCCCGCTGCCCCTCAGACACTGGGACAGACACCCTGGGCCAGCCCGCTGGCCCTCGGAAACGGGGACACGGGCGCACTGTCGCCTTCCTGTGCTAAGGCTTCCGGGCAAGGACGGTGCCAGCCCTTGGCGGGTCCCCAGGTGCCCGAGGAGCGCCTGTCTGTGACCTCTGACCTCAGGGCCCTACCCAAACACCCAGTGTGTTTAGCCCCTTTCACCTGCCCCCTTCCGCACTGTCCCCCGCCAGCACTAGCACCATCGGCTGAAATCCTTCTAAATTCCTCATTTGACAGTCAGACTAAGCTGGCAGTCTGTCCTGATGGGCTGGAGCAATGGATCTTGCCAGCTTCCCACAGACCCACCCGGAAGCCCCCCGCCGCCGCCCGGGTCTGACTCGGTCGGCGATACCGCGGCCGCCGTCCAGGGGCCGCGCTGTGAGAGGCGCTGACCCAGGTGCAGGAGTCCCCGCGGCGTCCGGCTGACTAGGGGCCCCAGAGCTTCCCGCCCGCTGGGGAGGAGAGCGCGGCGTCCGGCTGACCAGGGGCCCCAGCGCTCCCCGCCCGCTGGGGAGGAGGGCGCGGCGTCCGGCTGACTAGGGGCCCCAGAGCTCTCCGCCTGCTGGGGAGGAGAGCGCGGCGTCCGGCTGACTAGGGGCCCCAGAGCTCTCCGCCCGCTGGGGAGGAGAGCGCGGCGTCCGGCTGACCAGGGGCCCCAGAGCTCTCCGCCCGCTGGGGAGGAGAGCGCGGCGTCCGGCTGACCAGGGGCCCCAGAGCTCCCCGCCCGCTGGGGAGGAGAGGGCGGCGTCCGGCTGACCAGGGGCCCCAGCGCTCTCCGCCCGCTGAGGAGGAGAGTGCGGCGTCCGGCTGACTAGGGTCCCCAGAGCTCTCCGCCCGCTGGGGAGGAGAGCGCGGCGTCCGGCTGACTAGGGGCCCCAGAGCTCCCCGCCCGCTGGGGAGGAGGGTGCGGCGTCCGGCTGACCAGGGGCCCCAGAGCTCTCCGCCCGCTGGGGAGGAGAGCGCGGCGTCCGGCTGACCAGGGGCCCCAGAGCTCCCCGCCCGCTGAGGAGGAGAGTGCGGCGTCCGGCTGACCAGGGGCCCCAGAGCTCCCCGCCCGCTGGGGAGGAGAGTGCGGCGTCCGGCTGACCAGGGGCCCCAGAGCTCCCCGCCCGCTGGGGAGGAGAGCGCGGCATCCGGCTGACCAGGGGCCCCAGAGCTCTCCGCCCGCTGGGGAGGAGAGCGCGGCGTCCGGCTGACCAGGGGCCCCAGCGCTCTCCGCCCGCTGGGGAGGAGAGCGCGGCGTCCGGCTGACTGGGGGCCCCAGAGCTTCCCGCCCGCTGAGGAGGAGAGTGCGGCGTCCGGCTGACCAGGGGCCCCAGAGCTCTCCGCCCGCTGGGGAGGAGAGCGCGGCGTCCGGCTGACTAGGGGCCCCAGAGCTTCCCGCCCGCTGGGGAGGAGAGTGCGGCGTCCGGCTGACTAGGGGCCCCAGAGCTCTCCGCCCGCTGGGGAGGAGAGCGCGGCGTCCGGCTGACTAGGGGCCCCAGAGCTCTCCGCCCGCTGGGGAGGAGAGTGCGGCGTCCGGCTGACTAGGGGCCCCAGAGCTTCCCGCCCGCTGGGGAGGAGAGTGCGGCGTCCGGCTGACTAGGGGCCCCAGAGCTCTCCTCCCGCTGGGGAGGAGAGTGCGGCGTCCGGCTGACTAGGGGCCCCAGAGCTTCCCGCCCGCTGGGGAGGAGGGCGCGGCGTCCGGCTGACCAGGGGCCCCAGAGCTCCCCGCCCGCTGGGGAGGAGAGCGCGGCGTCCGGCTGACCAGGGGCCCCAGAGCTTCCCGCCCGCTGGGGAGGAGAGCGCGGCGTCCGGCTGACTAGGGGCCCCAGAGCTCTCCGCCCGCTGGGGAGGAGAGTGCGGCGTCCGGCTGACTAGGGGCCCCAGAGCTCTCCGCCCGCTGGGGAGGAGAGTGCGGCGTCCGGCTGACTAGGGGCCCCAGAGCTCTCCGCCCGCTGGGGAGGAGAGTGCGGCGTCCGGCTGACTAGGGGCCCCAGAGCTTCCCGCCCGCTGGGGAGGAGAGTGCGGCGTCCGGCTGACTAGGGGCCCCAGAGCTCTCCTCCCGCTGGGGAGGAGAGTGCGGCGTCCGGCTGACTAGGGGCCCCAGAGCTCTCCTCCCGCTGGGGAGGAGAGCGCGGCGTCCGGCTGACTAGGGGCCCCAGAGCTTCCCGCCCGCTGGGGAGGAGAGCGCGGCGTCCGGCTGACTAGGGGCCCCAGAGCTTCCCGCCCGCTGGGGAGGAGAGTGCGGCGTCCGGCTGACTAGGGGCCCCAGAGCTTCCCGCCCGCTGGGGAGGAGAGCGCGGCGTCCGGCTGACTAGGGGCCCCAGAGCTTCCCGCCCGCTGGGGAGGAGAGCGCGGCGTCCGGCTGACTAGGGGCCCCAGAGCTTCCCGCCCGCTGGGGAGGAGAGTGCGGCGTCCGGCTGACTAGGGGCCCCAGAGCTTCCCGCCCGCTGGGGAGGAGAGTGAGGGCGCCCCGGTGCTGGTGGGCGTGGCCGCGGGCCCTTCTCGGCAGATGACTGACAGGAGTTGGCGTCAGCCCTCCCCGGCTGGAGCCTCCATCAGCCACAGCGCGGAGCTGCCCCTCTGTGGGCGCCGCGGCCGCTTCTCCACTTTAGCTTCCGTTTGCTTCTCCATCTAGAATGGGCACCGGGGCCACCCAGGGTCTTGGGAAAGGCTTCTGAGTCTTCCCCCTGAGTCAGCCCTGCTCCCACGCAATTCTAATGCTCGGCGGGTTAGAAGCCACCAGCCTCCACAAAGCAAAGAGAGGACTTGTCGGGGTTCCAGTGCCGCCATGTGTGGGCTGGTCGGCTGGCTGCTCAGACGGAAGGCGGACCAGCTCTCCCGGCTGCGGGTGGTGGCGGCGAGGGGTTAGGATGCAGATTATGCTTCGCCGGGTCTGGGCAGCGACCCCGGTATCTCTGATTCTGCTGGACCAGGCCAGTGCTGAGTCTCCAGGCTTGACGGCTGGGCCCTCATGCCCCACTGCCTGTGGTGGGCAGTGGCAGCGGGCAGCTTCTCTCGTGGTGAGGGTCAGAGGCTCCTCCCCCCGCTTCAACACCATCGGGTCGTCTGTCTATCGGCCGGGTCCTCGTGCAGGACACTCAGCAAGTAGGTCTGTTCTCCTTTTGTAACCTTGGATCTTGCTTCTTCTCTCTTTGCAGTACGAGACGCGAAAAACCTAATCCCTATGGATCCAAATGGGCTTTCAGATCCTTATGTGAAGCTGAAGCTTATTCCTGACCCCAAGAATGAGAGCAAACAAAAAACCAAAACCATCCGCTCCACGCTGAATCCCCAGTGGAACGAGTCCTTCACGTTGTGAGTTGAACCCCCTCTTCCTGATGTGTTTTCTCCTTCACACTATGAACAGTGATAAACTGGGCTTATTATAAATGTCTTTAAACATCGATTCCTCCCTAAGCTCTTCTCTACGGCTGCTAGAGATGTAGCTGTGGTCACCTTTGGTTGATGGATAGAGACTCAGTTTACCAAGACTTATACACGATGCCCCAAGTTACCATCAGTAACTCCTGTACAAAAAGTTCTCTTACATTACAAATATAAGATCAGGTCCTCTTGGTGGACTTCCGTTTGTGTGTGTGTGTGTGGCGGGGGTTAGAGGAGGCTGTAGGTAAGAGTTTAAACAGTGGTTTTTAAAACATGAAAGAAGTGGGTAACCATCAAAGCTGATATTGCCACTGAAATGGGAAGGTTATCTTTACATCTAAGCAGGAAAGACTTCCTGGGGAAGGTGACATTTAATGTGGGCCTGAAAGGAGCGCAAAGATTTTGGAGACAGAGATGGAAGGGGAGAAAGGTTGGGGAGTGGAGGAATGAGTAAGTCACAAGCAAGAAAGCTCTGAGTGCGGCTGAGCGCAAGCAAGGTGTCCTCTCTGCGGATGAGAATGCAGGAAGCAACTTATCTGTGCACACCCAGACATAGCTGTCTAGGGTAAAGATCAGAGGCTGTCCAGCTTTGCTCTGGGAAGGGCTGGATGGTAAATAGTTTAGACCCTATGGGTCATCCAGTCTCTGTTGCAGGTACTATTCTAGATTCAGAGCTGCCATATCCAAACGTGTCCAGACAAATGGCCATGACTGTTTCAATAAAACTTTATTTACAAACACAAGCAGTGGGCCTGACTTGGCCGTGGCTCATGGTTTGCTAACCCCTTGTCTAGAGCTTTGGTTGCCGAGGGGCTGGCACTTTGTTGATGATGGAGAACCACAGGAAGACAACTGAATATACAATTTTTTTAATCTCAGATTCAGATCTCGAGCATGTGATATTGTCCCTTAAACCACAGTAAAGATAACCCCGTATCCGTGTGTGTGTTCTTTCACAGCAAATTAAAACCTTCTGATAAAGACCGGCGACTATCCGTGGAGATCTGGGACTGGGATCGAACCACACGGAACGACTTCATGGGGTCCCTTTCCTTTGGGGTCTCGGAGCTGATGAAGATGCCGGCCAGCGGATGGTGAGGAAGGCTGAGTGTGTCTGTGTGAGCCAAAAGTTAATTGTCTGAAAACATTAGCGCTTTCAGAGATTCAGGAGACGAGCTGGCTTAATTCCAGAGGGACCATTGCGTGTGCAGTTTCCTGGGTCCTGGCTCCCCAGTGAATGCATTTCAGAACCAGCTGGACTGGAGCCTGGGGGTGGGGGTGGTGTTGAACCCGGTGGCGTCAGCATGGTCTCACCCTCCTCCGCCCCATGTCTCTGAAGGTACAAGCTGCTGAACCAAGAGGAGGGTGAGTACTACAACGTGCCGATCCCCGAAGGCGACGAGGAAGGCAACGTGGAGCTCAGGCAGAAATTCGAGGTGAGACGAGCAGCGTGAGTGAACCACCCTTCTGTTCAGAAAGTTTCACTCCAGGAAGGGCCAGATTTTTGCGGTCACTGGGCTGGAAGGCAAAAGTCATTTAAATGTTAATCTTTGTCCGTATCTAAAGTCATAAACGTTGCATCATCATCACCTTGCTTCACAGCCTGTTGACACTCGGACTGTTATCCTTAGATATCAGAAACAGCTCTGCAGTGGGAGGTTGCTTCCTGCTAGGAGTCGGTCTGGCATCAGTGGGGAGAAGGGCAGGTCCTAGGCTTCTCCAGGCGGCAGAGTCCTCGGGTGTGACTGTCGGGCCAGCATCTTCCTTTTCTCTGCAGACCTCTAGGAAGGGGAGCTCTTTCTCCCCACCCGGGTGTGCACCCCCCTTCTGCCCCGGTGGTGTCACCTCTTCCTCCCTCGCTTCCCTCCTCCTCCCCTCTTCTCTCTCCTCACCTGACGTCTCAGCTCTTAATGCAGTTTCTGCTCCACGCACCTGCCTTACGCTCCACATCACAGCTTGCCACCTCTTGCCATTTCTCCAATCACCTGTGTGTTGGTTGTTCGAAGGACCCATGTAGTAGCTGATTGTGTCTCTGCACCAGGCTCACGGGGGCTTCCCTGGGGGCTCAGACGGTAAGGATTCCGCCTGCGGTGCAGGAGACGGGTTTGACCCCTGGGTCAGGAAGATTCCCTGGAGGAGGGCACGGCAGCCCACGTCAGTATCCGTGGGCTTCCCTGGTGGCTGAGGCAGTAAAAAAATACGCTTGCAGTAGAGGAGACTTGGGTTCAATTCCTGTGTCGGGAAGACCCCCTGGAGGAGGGCACGGCAGCCCACTCCAGTGTTCTTGCCTGGAGAATCCCGTGGACAGAGGGGCCTGGCAGGCTGCAGTCCATGGGGTGGCAAAGAGTCAGAACAGCTGACTGACCGAGCACTCATGCACGTACCTGATTCATACCTTGTGAAGCTTCCCCCTGCTCGGGCGGTCCCCAAGCCCTGAAGAAGTTCGGGTGCGCACACGCGGGCAGAGGCCCTGCACGGTCGCTGCCCTTGGGTCCCCCCTCCTGGGCTTGTTTCTCCTCCCAAATGTGTCCCGTCCCATAGGAGCGCACAGGCATACCTGCCGGTTAGAGTGGGCTCCGGAGGGTGTACAACACAAACACTCACAGTGCTTTGTCACTGATGTCGTCGTCGTCGTTCAGTCGCTCAGTCATGTCCGACTCTGCGACCCCGTGGACTGCAGCGCACCAGGCCTCCTTGTCCTCCACTCTCTCCCGGAGTTTGCTCAAACTCATGTCCACTGAGTCAGTGATGCCATCCCACCATCTCATCCTCTGTCATCCCCTTCTCCTCCTGTCCTCAATCTTTCCCAGCATCAGGGCCTTTTCCAGTGAGTCAGCTGTTCATATCAGATGGCCAGAATATTGGAGTTTCAGCTTCAGCATCAGTCCTTCCAATGAATATTCAGGGTTGATCTCCTTTAGGACTGACTGGTTGGATCTCCTTGCAGTCCAAGGGACTCTCAAGAGTCTTCTCCAACACCACAGCTCAAAAGCATCAGTTCTTCTGGGTTCAGCCTTCTTTATGGTCCCACTGATCACTGACATTTGGTTCAGAGGCTGTTGACGGCAGACACTGTGGGCAGGACCTGGATGCCCTCAGGATTGTGGAAGACGGGGCCTGGAGGGTGCTCTGCGGGTCTGTAGTAGAGGTCCACACACCACTTGCAGGATCACCCCAAAGACTGCAGATGCCTGAGGATCACAGGTGTGTCGGCTGTTATTTATCCTGGGGAAACATTTTGAGATTATCCTTGTTACTGATTAACAAAATGTGACCCAGTTATGATGAGAGTTAAGACATTTAAATCACTGCACTTGAGACTCAGTTGCTAGGTTGTCTGTGGAAAGAAAGCAGGCATTCTTCTGTTTACTGTTGTTGAAATTGGATTTTACAAAAGCCTCCATTGTCTTTGAAGACTTTAGTTAATTCAGGATATTCTTCAGATGGGAAAAAAAAATGGTTCATTGGAGACCCCCGACAAAGTGTAGCTGTGTGTTGATTTGATCAGGCGTGCCAGTGTTACCATGGAAACCTGAGTACTTTCAGATGACCTTTTGGACACAAAACAAAATCTATGTGCCTCAATATGGACTCGGCTTTTCCCCCACTAAATGGCTTCCTTAATTACTTTCTGAGCTGTGTGGTGTTAAGGGTGGGGTAAATCTATAAAATGCACTTCGGTGAAAAGAGATTTTGTTTTCCTCTTTGTACGTCAGCTCTTAGAGGCAGAGCCTTAGATTGAAATGGGATGAGGTTCGGTGTTGGAAATCATTTTCTCACCTCTGTTTGAGCATCATCAGCAGGGATTAACACTGCTCCTCAGCAGAGCAGACTCCAGGGCAGACTCTGAAGGACGCTGCACAGAGTTTCTAATATTCTGGGTGGTGGGGAGTGCATGCTTTTATGTGACCGTATGGCAGCATGTTTTCAGGAGTGTGCCATGGTCTACACCCATCTCAGACCTTGCCTGTGCTCTGTGGTAAAGGCCCTCCCTGTGTCTCAGGCTCGTCACCCCCCCAACCTTACATCACCCTCCAGCCCTTTAAACGGCCCCGGCGTCCCCTGTGCCCCATGCTGGGCACACCTGTCCGTGTGTCCCCTCCACGTGCATCCAGAGAGGAACCTCGGGTCCTGCTATGAAGGCTTTGGAATCTAAACTTCAGGCCCCACGGGGCAGCCACATCTGCCGGTCACTTGCCCACATCCAGGGAGGGTGCCTGAGCTCGTGTCTGACAAGGGAAGCTGTCAGGGCCGAGTCTCTCTGCAGCCTAGGGTCTGCTTCGTTTACATAGCCAGGCGCCTCGAGCACTTGGGCCAGCAAACCGACTCGCACGATGAGCGTGGTCACGCCTGGAGATGGACCAGCTCCTTTCCCAGAAAGGGGGAATTCTGGAAATTTCCAGCTGGTACATGCTGCGTCTCCTCAATGCCAACTACCACCTGTGGGGACAGAGGCATCAGACGGGGGCTCCGCTGGTGGCCCCGTGGCTAAGAATCCACCTGCCAGTGCGGGGGACCCAGGTTCAATCCCCGGTCCGGGAGGATCCCACATGCCATGGAGCAGCTGAGCCTGGGAGCCACAGCTACTGACCCCGAGCCCTCGAGCCTGTTCCCTGCAGCAAGAGAAGCCTCCACAATGAGAACCCAGCCCCACAGCTGGGGAGCAGCCCCCTCACGCTGGAGCCAGAGAAAGTCCTCAAGCAAAGACCCAGCACAGACAAAGATAAGTGAAATTTCTTTTTTAAAAAAGATGGACTTCAGATGGGACCCTGGCTCCCAAGGACACCGCAAGCACGAACAGTATTGGGAACTTGCCCCTGACTCCCCAGCGTGCGGGTAATGTCCTGACCTCCGGGAGGCAAGTGGGCCTCCTCCCAGCCCCCACCCCGCAGCTGACCCAGCTGGGCATGGCTGACCGTGGCCATGGCGTGGTTCTTCCTCCAGCCCTCGGGATGCCAACCCGGCCTCACTGCTGAGGAGGTGTGGTTCGCTCAGTGTGGGGCGAGGCTTTGGCCTGGGGGCTGCGGACTGAGACAGGGCCCAGAGCCTGAGGCCAGGAGCCTGGGGCTTGGCTTCCCTTCTGTTGATGGCTTTTGTTCCCACGGATGAGGCCTCCTTTCCTCTGAGGACCTGGGCCTCGGGCGTGCCCCTTCCCAGGTCGTCAGACCGACAGATGCAGTCGCAGAGCCTCGGAGCGGGAGCTCAGCGAGCCCAGCTGGTGTGTCTTCAGCGGGTCATCGAAAACCAGCTCCCTGACGTTTGGGCTCCTCCACTGACCTTGTCCACCTTGAGCAGGGGGAGCGCGTCCTCCCGACCCCCACCCCGATCCGGGCTGCGGGCCAGGCAGGTTCCCTCCGGACTCTGGAACTGGCTGAGTCACTGCATAAGCCTTTCCTTTGATTTTTTTTTTTTTTTAAGGAATTTGGGCTATTTTGTTATATCCAAGCTTGAAACAGCTAAGAGTTCTTTCTGGGTCCATTTAAGTCAGAATAACTGCCCAGTGACTGCATGGCAACTGTATAGAAGCGTCTCTGCTGGAGGATTTTCACCTCCTATTCCAGGTGGAGGTGGGAGGTAGGACCCTTCTAGAGCCATGCCATGTTCGTCTCAAGGCATCTCAGCCAATCTGGAGACCTCGGTGCCTCAAGGACTCAAGCTGAGATGTGCTGCTCCATCAGGAAGGTGCAGGAGATAGACTCGGGCTTATATTTCCTCCGTGGTTATTCCAACACCAGGATCTCAGTAAGGACAGTTTTGTTTCTCTTGTTCCCTTCAACCTGGATGTGGATTAAGATCTCTAGTCTAAAATAGAGCTTTTGGGGATTGGCATAAAATGGCCTGTTCTGAGAATGACTATAAGGAGATCTGTAATTACCGGTGTATAGGGCCATGATTATAAGATGTAGTAGACGACAGTCGGCCCAGACCTGTCAAAGTGATGTGACATTCACTCGCTGCCCAGTATCCTGACTTAGTGGGCAAAGCCTTCTGAACACAAAGCATCATCCTTTCGTCTCTGGTCTCCCCTCTGCTCAGGAACAGGGCTGTTGTGCACCTTGCAGGCTGTGGACTTTAGGCTCAGAGAAGCAGCCCCCTCACATTTTCTCCCAGCAGCTGACCACCTCCCACCACCACCCCGTGTCAACTTGAAGAATTAATCCCATGGCTGCCTGCATAGAATTCTCTGTTAAGATGGTCTCACTTGTTTTGGTCACAATGGTACTTGAAAAAGTCAAGTTATCCGATCATGATGGGTCATTTTAGGGAGAAGTTCAGGGTGAACAGAAGTCCTGGTCACCTGGCATCTGGTCAGCCAGAACTCGGCCGATCGGCCGCTCAGCAGGTTTCTCTTTTGCCGGTAACCTTAGGCTCTTCAAGATCCTGAAGAGCCTTCTGAATCATCAAGAAGAAGTACATTGTGTTACACACAGTTTTG